CTTTAAGGAATACATACGTAAAAGTTTTCGTGGGAAAATTGCTAGTGGTGGCTTCCCGCGTCCTTCCGCAGCAGAATTTCAGAAGCGATTTAGTTCCTCTGGGCTACTGAAGCCCTAGTCCGGGCTAGTTGACCGCTGCTCGTTGCTCGGGCTTATATTTTCAACTCTGGGTAGAAGGCATACCGACGCCAACCCTCTTTTCTCATCCGGGCTTTAATTTCTCTCAGAGACGTTTAAGCCCATGCAATGAATGGTATTTGTGGAGCGCTAAGAGTTTCGTCGTGTTTGGCGATGGACAGGATCACAACTGTCTACATGCATCGCCAGATTGCTTAGATGGATGGACGAATTCTCAACCCACCTGGTGTTAAGTGGGCACCGGATCCCATAGACATCTACAACGTAAATGCCCGCCTTGAGATATGAGTTTTAAGGTCTCAGTATAGTTACAACGGCTGCTCCACCCTTTAAACCGAAACACATTGCTGCTTTACGGCAAAAATAGGCATGGTACCTACCCGTGCGGACTCACAAGACGTCCTGCCGCCAGTAAATAATTCACAAATTAAAATTGATTCATCAGTAAACATTTACCAGATATCCACAAATAACAATATGGTATTCCCGTTCATCTAATTGCAAATTAAGAAACAAACATCCTCATGTAATTATTATTATTTTGTATAAACTTTTATTATATTAAATCAGTAATCGTTCGTCCGTCCGTGACGTTTCGTTATCGCTTGTCGGTCCGTTGGTCAACGCCAGTTAAACTCTAACCGTATTGTTAACAGCACGTTATCACAATAGAACATTTAACCACTAACGTGTTACAGTGAAGTGAATGTATTCGATCGGTTTTGGTTCGAACTGTTTCAGTGCAAAAAACACAGTTGTGCTAGACGAAATCGCGATACACGTTTGTGAATAATTGTGTTTCTGTGTCTGTATGAATGAATTTGATGATAGCATGCGATAGAGAACAAGTCGCGAGCGCAAGGCCACTTTCACGGTTTCAGTCGACTCGGAAAGTCTGGTCTTCGGCAATTATGTCGAGTCATTTGCGTGATTTTCGGTTGTTAGTGAAGCAGATTGGTCCACCGCCGACCGTGCTATGATTTAAGAGTGCCTATGTACTCACAGGTCGTTCGAAATCGGGAGGAAAACCGAACCATTATGTGCTATGTCCATTTTTTTTAAGGTTTCGATAATTTGACCATTATGAAATCTTCGTTTGATTCAACATCCCGAAAAAATACTTTTGCGCATAGCACATAAGTACCAGCAACTTCTTCCATCTGACTTCATATAGAAAAGGAGCATTCGATTTGCCTTCTGCTGAACTTCTGCGTGGACAGAAGAAGTTCAGTCCTTTCTTTGTGTTTTCACGATGTGTTCCATAGGAATTGTTATCAGAAACTATTTGAGATGATCCCTGTACCTTTTTGTTACCATCGCATCAATCGCCATTGCAACTGCGTTCACAGTGTCTTTAAAAGCATCACTTTGGGATAAACTCCACGCTAGCCCACTGAGATTCACGCTGGATCTTCTCAGTAGGTCGCGTTACCGATCCGGTGGTAGATTCTGCGAAGCAGGGCTCTTGCTAGGGCCAGTGTTAGCAACATTGTCAGATTTGAGCCCCGTGAGCTCACCTACTAGTTAAGGTTACGCATATATGGTCTCTCTAGACCATCAGCTTAGGTAGAAAAAAAAAACTCCACTCTATTGCGTTTCCCAAGTATGACAGGTTTTCCTTCGGACGAGATTTGAAGATTCCTCAGCGGTCGGCAGCGGAAACCATTCACCATGATGAACCCTATTCGTGGGTCGATTCTTTCGACAGATGAGGGCCTTCCAAATCAACGCCAGTCCCGATTCTATTGCGTAATTCAGTTACTGCCAAACGAGGACTTTAAATGCGGTCATTGGAATGATAACGAGTACGTGCTGCCTTTGCATTGGAGATGTTTATGTAAGGCTTAAACAAAAGTCGTGGTATATGCGTTCGGTATTCTCCGCTGGCAAACTACTGACGATTTTTCTGTTATGTATACGGTTACAATAACAGTTGTTACATTGCCTTACGAATTTTCCCTTACAACTTAGTGACGTGATGAACCAAAATCGACCGATTAATTCAAAGTTTCAGCCGATGAGTAGTAAGTAGTGTTACGAACAATTGTTTTGGACATTTCACACGTGTGTGTCGCGGTAAAGATGCGTATAAAAAAGACATTTCTGGTTTACGAAAACGAAAACAAATGCCGCAGTGAGAAGGAGCCTTTATTGCAAGATTCGGATAACAGTGAGGATTATTGGCGAGTTTTTCTGTTTGATTCACTGATTGCAAAGATATTTTTCCGCGTACCAAAAGAGTTTATGATGGCCGAGCGCTATTTCACTCTACATCCTCCAGCGAGGTTTCAGAAAAGTCCTTTGCAGGGTCAGCGAGTTGGTAATTCTCCTCGCTTGACGATAAGCTAGGGCTGTAAGCTTTCTCGCTTGTGCAACTGGAATGAACTTCCCTCCTCGGTGATTCCTAAGCGCTATCACATGTCTTTCTTCAAACGGGCTTTGCTGAGAATACTAAGCGGTAGACAGAGGCTTGGCTGTACCCCTTGCATTGCTGAAGTCCATGAGTGACGGTAACCACTCACCGTCAGGTGGGCCAAAAGCAATGAAAAAGACGCCGTAAGAAAAATTGTAATTAAGCAAATTACTCTCTTAACAAAAAGGTTATCGCAAACTTATCAATCTCTTATCATACACGAAGTCTTTAAGGAGATATTTTAAAATCTTTATGAAGCGAACATTTTTTATTTATTTCCAATAATATGAAATCAGAAATAATATTTTTTATTACGAAAGTTGACTGTTCAATTACGTGTAAATATATCAGATTTATTAAAATCTGATACCACTCGCGCGCCAGCTCCTGATGACAATGACGTTCAAAAAACCTCTCTTAAAGTGTCAAAAGTAACAATCTAAATTCTCAGCTCTATCGGGTAAATGAAAACGAAGACACGAAAATTATTTTTTATAATATTCAGATATAAATGGAGAATGAATTACCCTTTAATAATTAGCTATCTAAATAATAATATAATAGTTGTGTTATCTCGTGAGGTTCTGAAGGAGCCATTACGAAAGATATCAGCCGGCTTGTTGTAGTAACACGTGGAGAATTCGTGTTTTTAGTGTAAAGTAAATCGAAGCCAAACCAAAAAGTACCTTATTGGAAAAGGAAAACAATTTTCAATCCGCTGAGCATCAGAAATTACATAGGGCCTTTCGTGGCGCCACGTTTCGTCCTTTGTGACCGGAGTGAGATGTCTTGTCGGATCCCCCAGATCCATCCTCAGTGATTTTAGGCTCTTCAAGAACCGATCGTCCTTCCCTTGCAAACTGGACTAGCACAGGCCACTGAGTTTTTCGCCGGGTCCTCCCAAAGGACTGCGATTACGATCCGGTGGTAGAGTCAGCGAAGCACTGCTCTTGCTAGGGCTAGTGTTAGCAAATTCTCTCAGGTTGAGCCCGTGAGCTCTTGTACCCGTCCGTGCGTAGTTGGAATAGCAGTCTACCAACGATTAGGTAGGGGGGGGGGGGATCGAAATCGGAGCGAGGCCATAGTAGTGATGCGCTCCTGGCATTTATGTGTATTATCTATGCTCCTTGCCCCCGCCTGTCTCTTCTGTGTTCTTTATAATTGAAGTTTGGACTTGTTGAACGACGGAGTTTTTTTATGTGTATTATCTATGACTAAACACTATCTCTACCTCCACTAACTTGCTGAGAACATACGTTTCATTATATATCATTGACCCAAAAAATACTCAATCAAACAACATTCCAGAATAATTCAAAAAAATGTTTTTTTCAATTTTAAATATTACTTATTTGTAACATATTATTAATGTAATTTTAAATTCTCTAAATATTATCCTAATATACTCAACGGATACAAGATGGCGCTTTTAGATTACCTAAATAAATATTTCGACACGAAACATTTGATAAGTCATATCGATACAACTTATCACGTACGTAGATCCTGTCAATGAGATGTCAATATGAAATGAGGTCGACGACCTGTTTTCTATTGGCAAGAAAATGATATCCAAAACTTTGGTATTAAAAACGTCAAGTTCTGAGGGGTAACATTTTTGATGAATAAATAGAATTTAAGAATTAAAGCAATTCAATTTCTTCTGGTGACCGTCTTTCCAAGCTGGAATAAGATCTTCCACAGAATCTACAAATATAATCGGTTCCCGTTACGTGTGTATGAATTTTCTAACTAAAACCGTGCGAAGCTACAAATAACTAGAATTCTTTTAATAATATGTGCCTGCTAATGTGTTATAGCGTATTTGTCGTCTAGTAAGTAAAATCGGCGAAATTGGAATTAACGAAGAAATTAATTACAAGAAAAAAGGAAATTGGTTCCGAATTTCTGTGTGGCGAACCATTTATTATTAAAGTACGGAACCCTGGGATCATTGTTGTAGATGAACTGATTAGGACATGGGTTACTTGGTGCCTAGCAGTCCCGAGGCCAATACAGGTTTCCTACTCCTCAAACCGAAGTGTTTTACAATAGGACAAGGCAACACATTCTACCAATTCCTGCGCAGTCAAATCACATCCTACCCTATAGATAATCAACCATACCAATCATGTTCCTTTAAGGCAGGGGTTCCCAAACTTATTTTGTCTACTGCCCACTTTGATAATAAATTATTTTTCATCGCCCCCATTTTTTCACATACCTAAAAACCACTATAGTGAGAGTTTAGTCGGTTTCTAAGAGTCCTCTTAGATAAAATTACAAATCACCTCCCAAGCAACACAACGCTCCCATTTTTTTCTGGATCTGTTACCGCCCCCCTTTAGGCCTGCAGCGCCCACAGGGGGGCGTTATCGCCCACTTTGGGAAAGGCTGCTTTAAGGTTATACTGGATAATAACTAGGTTTTTGTCTCTTTCTACCATCAGGCTCAGCTCTCGTCCCAGTCAGCAGTTCAACGTCATCAGACGGGTCTACCAGCAAGATGCGCTCAACAAGGACGCCGATTACCAAGTTCCTGATAGACCACGTAAGCTACTGAACTTATAAAATTAGTTCTAGATATTAGTTTAATTATTTATTACCTACTGCGCTCGATTTTTGCGGGTCCCGGATATAATTAAAACTACTATATTATTTCCGCGTGATTATTTCCGAAGTATCGAATATTTTGTATAAAAAACAATTATCATGGTAATTCGACATTTTAATATTATGCTACCTACCCTCTAATATCTAATATCAACTGGGTACATATTTCCTTTAATCAAAAAATGACACGGTTCTAGTTAGACCCATGGGGGAGGTTAAGCCTGAGTAGAATGTTTTGTGTTGTAAAATATATTATATAAGACTTATTCTGCAATAAAATTTGTTGTAAAAACGCTTCATTTAAGTATCAAGGAGAGCGGGTGCCTAGTAGGAATCTATCTCTCACTCTCACGCCAACTACACTTAAGTCATTGATATCTAACTTCTATTGTTACTCGACAATTCTATTTCTACTTCTATTGTTTATTTATTTATTTATTTATTTATTTCCTCGACAATTATTATTACCAAATATAAAATATTTCTTATCTATTCCTTAGCGAACTCGTGATATTGTTCTTGCTATTCTAATATCAGTTTATTTATTTATTTAAACAGTACGGTAGGTCAATATAATTTGATTTCGTGTTCCAGTGGGTCACCGCTGCAAAAAACTGGTCAACAGTTGCGGCATCGGTGAATGCCTCCTCAATTCAGTGCCGCTGATCAGATGGCTGCCGAAATACAAAACTAAAGAGTATCTCGTTGGGGATTTGGTCGCTGGAGCTACCACCGCTGTTATGCACATACCTCAAGGTAACGTAGCTTAAACCCACAGACAGAGCCCACTGAGTTTCTCGGATTTCCTCAATGGACCGCATTCTAATCCGCTGGTAGATTCTGCGAAGCACTAGCTAGGGCGGTGCTTCGCAGGCTAAAGTTGGCAAATTTTCTTAGGTTGGGCCTATGAATAGACAGGGAAAAAAGCGTAACTTACTTAGAAAATTATATTTCCTAGTTGAACCAAAGAATTCTGTTTACCTTCAGTCGACCTTGGCCGCGTGGTAAAAGTAACTTATGATTTAATTACCAAGTAACTTAGGTTAAGTCACGATTTTTCTGGATTGTGAAATAGTATATATCACCCTCTGATTCATAGGCTACTGTAGCCCATTGTCGTCACAAGATGAATGCTATCCTCCATTTTGAATTAAGAGCTCTGAGTTTCACTAGTATTAGAATAACAGTTATCCTACCTATGAACTGGACCGCTTGCGTCAAACGTAGACCCCTGTCTACTACCCTTAGTGGCGACCCATCCGTGATCACAATATATCCTGACGAAAGACTGTAGAACTTACCTCTGACTCGAAAACAGAAACGATTACAGAAGAGAGACCTTTCTCCATGCTTGCTTGGAGAGAGTTCTCTTGAGGAAAGATGTGCTTGTAAACAGACCGGTTTATAGAGACCATTGCTGATAATTTCGCGACAGAACCTCACCAAAGTCGTGCGCATGCGATAAGCCCAGATCTGTTGAAACCGAGACTAAACAAGAGCTTGTAATAGTCCACTCCCGCATTGACACATGACATTTTTCACAGAATTAATTCTACATTAGTGCGGTTCTGGATTCTGTCGTTGCTAAAACATTTAAAGGAACCTTCATATCGTTTCCAGGTATGGCGTACGCGTTGCTATCAGAAGTACCACCGATAGTTGGATTGTACATGGCATTTTTCCCGGTGCTAATCTACGTTATATTCGGTACCTCCCCTCACATTTCCATGGGAACATTCGCGGTCGCTTGCTTGATGGCTGGAAAGGTAATATTAAATTTGAGTTTTACAGGTTTTTTTTTAAAGTCGGCTTATTGGGTCGGATGTTTGATTGTTGAGGTATTTGACAAAGTTAATAGGGCCTATGTTAACTGCTAAAATTGAATTGTGGTTATCTTGCGATTGTTTTAAAAAGAGCGAGTGTCAGAAAATTCGAATATCACTTGGATCTTCGTAATAATCGTTGTGCTGTTTTAAACATACCTTCCAGTAAAAAAAGCTTGGTAGGCAGCGGCTTGGCTCTGCCCCTAGCATTGCTGACGTCCATGAGCGACAGTGACCACATACCATCAGGTGGGCCGTATGCTCGTCTGCCTATAAAGGCAATAAAAAATATATAAAAAAAACTGACTGACTTGGTGATGCAATAGTTAGCGCCCTTAACGGTTGCGTCAAGGGGTCGTGGGTTCGATTCCCACATCGGGCAAAGATTGGGTGATGAACATATTTGTTTGCTCTTTGACTGAGTTTTATTATCCGTACATATTTAAACGTTTATAAGTATGATTGTCAGTCTCTGGTACCCATAATCCTAAATTGGGCCGGATGACCGTGCGTGATTTGCTCCCAATTATTATTATTATTTTTCTAGATTTCCCCTTTCTCAGCCCAGTCTATCGACAGAGCCGGCAGAACTGTATATACGGGCTTTTGGCCAAGTAACATACAGTACCTATGAGTTATTAGGCTATTATTATTATTATAAATTATTACTATACTAGCTATGCCCCGGTAGTCGAAATTCGACTATAATTAATTGAAATTATAAGTTTGTACACTATTATGATTCTATTGTGAAAGACTATTTCTTCCATAATCATAGATTTCGCTAAGACTACACTTTAGCAAATATTATTAAAGACAAACAATTATTTAATCTATTCTAAATTTGACCACAGACTATAAGCAATAAGAAAAGTCTGACAATAAACAAATATTAAGCATGTGTTTGTGTGTCAAATACATGGTAGTGTGTAATGTTTTTTTTATTGATTTAATGTATTTTTATGCATAATTTAAAAAAATTTTATTTAACGTTCTGCATTCCTTCTCTATATTCTCTATAAGTATGAGAAATTTCATACTCCTCCGTCCTCGCAATTTTCGTAAAAAGGGGTACAAAGTTTTGCTTCACGTATTAATATATAGATTATAAAACAAATGTAAATTCCGTATGTATATCAATGGTTAATTAGTTCGCATTAATATATTCTAAAGTTAAAGTATTATAGTTATTTGTCTCCTAATGATTCTTGTCCACCTAATGGTCGTCTGAAAGACCACCAATTGTACTTTTTTGTATTTAATGTTTCGCATTGTTATCGTTATTTTGTGTACAATAAAGCTTACTCTCTCTCTCTCTCACTCTCTTATATCATTCGTTCCAGGTTGTGACACAGCACGCTACCGTTCTAGACGTGACCCATGGGAACAGCACGAATGGTAGTACAGGTAAATCTGCTCAATTGCCCTCGCAGGTACCGATGCCATCACTCTAATGGTGTCTTGAAACCGTCGCCCGTGGACATCGATTAAATTATAAAAAGTATCTGCGGGAAATTATTATTACATATACTCGTGCTACTGCTTATATTATTACTACTTATACTGGTGGTAGGACGTCTTGTGAGTCCGCACGGGTAGGTACGGGTGGTGGTACCTACCCGCCTAGTTCGGTCGTGAAGCAGTAATGCGTTTCGGTTTGAAGGGTGGGCGTTATACGATAGACTTTTTTTATTTTCCCCAGTAAGCAGACGAGCATGACCATCTGATGGTGAGTGGTAACCGTCCTCCATGGACGTCAGCAACGCCAGGGGCAGATCCAAGCCGCTGCCTACCGTTAAATAATTTCCACTAACCTCGTTTGAAGAAGGACATGTCATACCCCTGTGAGCTTTCAATACGCCCAAGCAGCAAGGAAACAATACGTTCTGTTTTAAAACATTGGTGTTGAGCATAAAACTTAATAGAAGTTGAGTTAAATTAGCTACCTAAAAGATCGCGCATGCGCAGTTCGGGATAGCACAACTTGTCCTGTCGGTACATTAGTGCATAATCTTATGGCCCATTTATAATAAAAATATTTCCTGTTTTAATACGTACGGTTGATGCAGAAGTGAAAATAGTTCAATGAACCCAGGCAGATATTTACTGGTGGTAGGACCTCTTGTGAGTCCGCGCGGGTAGGTACCACCACCCCGCCTATTTCTGCCGTAAAGCACTAATGCGTTTCGGTTTGAAGGGTGGGGAATACGTTGTAACTACACTTGAGACCTTAGAACTTATATCTCAAGATGTGTGGCGCATTTACGTTGTAGATGTCTATGGGCTCCAGTAACCACTTAACACCAGGTGGGCTGTGAGCTCGTCCACCCATATAAGAAATAAAAAAAGATATCAAATCTGCCGACAAAGACCATGTTATATGTTAAACGCAATGGAACACAATTAAAAATTATCTATCGCGCGGTGCTAACAAACGCCAAGCTAATCGGTAACGGTGTGTCATTGACCCCCGACTGTTGTTCGTCTTACATTGCGGAATCTTTTCGAAAGTTCTGGAAGGATACGATAAACGTGCTATTTAATTTAAATAACTTTATTCTTGGTATAATCCACAGCGCCTGAAACTGGTATAGAATACACACCCATACAAGTTGTAAGCGTCGTTTGCCTCTGCGTTGGCATGTATCAAGTAAGTTGAATATTATTGGTTTCATCTCCTACGAGGGTTTTTTCCTAATTAAGATCGTAACTAGTAGGGGTAACAGACTAATTGGAGCACTTGGAGATAGTGAAATTAAAATATCACATTCCTATCAGCACTAGTATAAGACATAAGACCGAAATAAAAACTCTCCCCTATTCTCTTTCAACTCTCTTCTACTTTTTTCCCACCGAACAAATGTCCCGGAGATTTTGCGGCTTAACACACACCAGAGCTTAAATTCATCATAATTATAATGTTCGACAACAAAGCTATCAAGATTGGACCTATGTTCTGCGAAAAATCGCGACTAATGTTTTATTCTTTGCCCAAAAACGGTCGCATAAAATATCTAAATTAAGGATTTTAGATTGCAATCACAAAGATTTGCGTGATCTTTACATTAACTTCGTTTCCGGACTAAGTCTGTGAACATTGAGGACTAGAATCGAACAAAAATCACTAGGGTCACTATGATTTTAAGGCTTATTGAGTTTCTGTGCAGAATTACGTTCTGTTGATGCGGAAATCGAAAGAGAAAAGAGAGATAAGAATGTTAGCACTGTATTTCCTCTGACATTGATACGCTACAATGAACAGCAGGATATTGGTTCCCATCCGTGCGTGCTGCCAATTGCTGGTCATTATGATTATAGCTTTATTTCCACTTAACAAAGCCATTATATATCAGATTATAAACTAGTTATTTTCAATTTTTTCTTTGTTATGTGGCCCCTTAGGTAAAAGCCTTCTCTATCCTCTTCCACCTTTCCCTGTCCTTGCTGGATATAGTCTCTCCAATTTCGCGCCACTAATGTCTCTAATACGTCCTACCATTAGCACTATTACTGATGGTAAAACCTCTTGTGAGTCCCCACGGGTAGGTACCACCACCCCGCCTATTTCTGCCTTGAAGCAGTAATGCGTTTCGGTTTGAAGGGCGGGGCAGCCGTTGTAACTATACTTGAGACCTTAGAAGATATCTCAAGGTGGGTGGCGCATTTAAGTTATAGATGTTTGTGGGCTCCAGTAACCACTTGTGTGGCTGAGCTCGTCCACCCATCTAAGCAATAAAAAATAAATAAATAAAGCTATACCTTTCATTTAGATCGTGATGTGGATGTTTCGTCTCGGTGCAGTATCCACTTTGCTGTCAGATTCCTTGGTGTCAGGATTCACGACTGCCGCCTCATTCCAAGTCGTCGCCTCTCAGCTGAAGGACCTGTTTGGGGTCAAGATAGGGAAGACGTCCGGGAACTATAAAGTCGTCTTTGTGAGTAGACAATTAAAGTACCTACTCTATTACCAGATGAGACCAAAAGACTGATTCAGATTTATTATAAGATCTTTTTTGTGCGTTTTTGTCTGTAAGGCAAACCAATTATGTCTATGACTTTTTAATACCAGAGAAATTGTCACTATTAGAAGACTATAAATATTTCCATATTTCTTTTTTCATATATTATATCTATCTATTTAGTGTATTTTTATTAAGATTTATATGCTAATGGATCCTTTTGATTTTAATACGCTTTTATTAGCTTTAGACGTATGTATGTGTTAGTACGGTAGTATGTAACGGAATATTTAAACATGATTTTGACCCCCTTCAAAACGTTGGATTAACTCGAATTTGGTATACTTCTTAAGGACCGATGACAATTCAATATTAAAATGAAAATAAAAAAAATTGAAATTCAACTAAAAAAATGAAAAATAAATGCATGGTGTCAGTAGTTATAAATATTTTATGAACAGATATGAGTAGAAGGGCTATTGTCATAATATCCTGAAAAGCACCCCACGCTTTTTTACAGTAAAATCATTTTTTCTAACGCTATTTTAAATTTAAATTTATTAAAATTTATTTTCTATTTTTTAGTTGGATTTTCTATAAAAGCGTATTTTGTTAGTTTTTTTAAAATCATTATTTATTAAAGGTGATAAAACTGTTTGGTTCCAGACAATAGTCGAGGTGGTGAAAAATCTTCCGAACCTGAACTGGGCTGCGTTCGTGATATCGCTCATCACTTGTGTCGTCATAGCTTTGAACAATGAACTCCTTAAGGTGAGTCGGTAAGATATGTCCTTGAGCCCGCGGTCCACTCCCGACTTTTACTGACCGTCATGTCCCACATACCCCGCGGGACTCCTAGTGCCACGTACCATCCGGCTATGGAATGAGCTCCCCTCCACGGTGTTTCCCGAGCGCTATGACATGTCCTTCTTCAAACGAGGCTTGTGGAGAGTATTAAGCGATAGACAGCGGCTTCCGCGGAGTCCGCGCGGGTAGGTACCACCACCCTGCCTATTTCTGCCATAAAACAGCAATGCGTTTCGATTCGAAGGGCGGGGCAGCCGTTGTACTGTTAAAAATGAGACCTTAAAGCTCATGTCTCGTGGTGGGTGGTGGCATTTACGTTATAGACTTCTAGCACCAGGTAGGCTGTGAGCTCGTCCACTCATCTAAGCAAGAAAAAAATCTTGATCATCTAAGCTCACGGTTGTATTTCAGCCGTGGGTGAGTAAGCGCAGTAGAGTGCCAGTTCCTGTAGAGCTATTGGCCATCGTCGTCGGCACGTTGGTCTCCAAGTTCGGGGGGCTGAAGGAGCAATTCGGCATCAGTTTGGTCGGACATATACCGACCGGGTGAGTCTTGTTATTATTTATTACTGGTGGTAGGACCTTTTGAGAGTCCGCGCGGGTAGGTACCACCGCCCTGCCTATTTCTGCCGTGAAGCAGTAATGCGTTTCGGTTTGAAGGTTGGGGCAGCCGTTATAACTATACTGAGATCTTAGAACTTATATCTCAAGGTGAGTGGCGCATTTATGTTGTAGATGTCTATGGGCTCCAGTAATGGACAGTCCGGAGCCCATGGACATCTACAACGTAAATGCCAACACCCACCTTGAGATATGAGTTGTTCGGTCTCAGTCTTAACAGTACAACGGAAGCTATTTTTAAGAATCCTGAAATGAAATTTGTCTTTATTACACGCTTTATATTAGCTTCGCTTGTATGTATGTTTGTATGTTTGTAACTGACTCCTTTAGACGCGATTTTGACCCACTTTAAACGGCCAGATTTCATTCAAACTTTGTAGATTTATCGAGGACCGATGACATTACACTAATTTGATAAGATTATGCTATTATTCAATTTGCAAAATAAGATTTTTGCCAATTAATATAATTGTTACCTATATTTAGTCGATAAGGCGGGAATTGATGTTATAGTACTTAATAATTTTAAAAATAATAGTTTAAAAAAACATGCATGGTGTTATTAGTTATAAATATTTTTCTGACAGATATCAGTAGAAGAATTATTATTTTAATAATATCTTAAAAAGCATCCCACGCTTTTTTTTTAAATTAAATTTATCTTACACTATTTTCAATTTAAATTTATTAAAATTTATTTTCTATTTTTAGTTGAATTTTATGTAAAGCGTGTTTTTTATAATAGTTTTTGTTCTTGACAAAATAAAACTGTATCAAACTGTGAAAGAACGCTGTACATTGCTGCGTTTATTGATACGTTTCGTCGCAAACAGCCTTCCGGTGCCGCAAGTACCCGCCGTCGAGCTGATCCCGCAAGTGGNTTACATAACAATAAAACCGATATTATGTGCCGAGAAGGAAAACATACAGCATTGCAGGAAGTTCTTCCTGGTGAAGACTATGAAGATCAAAGATGGCTGCGCTCCCTTTATACTTGCTGGCAGCACCTAGCGGCTAAAGATGGAACTAAATTGACTGTCTATGGTTGGACATAGACAAGGAATCTAAGCTAAGTACACAATGCTTCTTCATAATACAATGCTGTATGTTTTCCTTCTCGGCACATAATATCGGTTTTATTGTTATGTAAAACCGTAATATTTTTTTTTAATAAAAATCCATTATTTTTTTTCGTCCCATCATCAAAGGTGTCATTAGTACTATCGACTGTCTTCGTTTTCGGAAGCGGTCTCCTAACACCCGGTATCTTAATACGTGAAGCAAAAACTTTGTATCCCTTTTTACGAAAATTGCGCGGACGGAGGAGCATGAAATTACCCACACTTATAGAGAATATAGAGAAGGAATGCTGAATGCTAATATTTTCTTTAATTAAGAAAATACATTAAATCAATCAAAAACACATTACACACACTACGTGGGTAGCGTATGTAATGTGTTTGACACAGACACTGGTCTGTCCCTCCCCCAGGCGGGCAGCAAGACGGGAGTGACGTCAGTCGTGAGTGCGTCCCTCATCCTCTGCGTGCTGCTGTGGATCGGACCATTCTTCGAGGACCTCCCTCGGTGCGTGCTGGCCGGCATAATCGTGGTCTCGCTCAAGGGAATGTTCATGCAGATGAAGGAGCTTACGAAGTACGTATCTCATTCAAACGATATATTTTCTTTTTTTTTAATTATATCTATATACAGTCAAACCTGGATAACTGAGAACTGGATAAGTGAGAAAACTCTATAAGTGAGAGTATTAGCCAGGACCCGTCATTTTAAGCTCCCAAAACCTCTATTAGAGAGAAACAGAAACCTCTGTAAGAGAGAGTCGTTTTTCCCTCATAGACCTCCGTAAGTGAGACTGCTACTTATCTATACCTCTATAAGGGAGAGTCGAGCTTTATTTATTTATATTATTTAGGAGGAACAAATGAAAAAACAAATTACTAGTTTAACATCTGTTATTTTATGACTCATTGTTAACTTTTGTGGAACTTTCTACCATTGTTTTTGAATTGTTTTCTCATCAATATTGAACCTATTCTATTTCGTGGAACTAAATAACGTTGTTATTTTATCGCTTTCTTTTCGAATGGACACGAGTGCCTATGTACCGTCCTGTTTGTCAGACTTACTCAGTTTATCATTAATCAATTGCGAAGAAAAGTTCTGTTCTGCATCATGTCAAAACGGAAAATTAAAATACTGTCATTAAGTGATAAACTTAAAATAGTGAATGCGTTTGAATCCGGAAAATCGCGAAATAAAATTCAGAGGGTGCATTAGCGAGAAACTCGGGTTAGTGAGAAACCTCTTTAAGCGAGAATGAGATTGTGCTCCCTTGAACTCTCTCTTATCCAGGTTTGACTGTATACCTAGTCAAGTTATAAGTATTGTCACACAGTAAAAACTTTTCTTTTAGAATGCTGGCCGCAAAAAAGTTTATTGAATTCGGATTTCGAATTGTTCATGAAAATAAAAATGTATACTTTTAGAACTTTACTCATTTTTAAATATGGAGTGGACGCTTAAAGAAGACCGTGTTGCAGTTATTGCGTTGCATCGTTGCGTTTACGCGCCAATTCAAATTTTTAACATACTGAAAAATTTTAATATAACCAAAAGATTCGTTTATCGTACCATCAAACGATACAATGAAGACTCTAGTGTAGATGACAGCTCAAGAAGTGGTCGCCCTCGGTCTGTTAGGACTCCAGCAGTGATAAAAGCTGTGAAGGCGCGAATTCAAAGAAATCCCAAACGTAAGCAGCAGAAAGCAGAAACTGTTGGCCCTTCAGATGGGGTTAAGCAGATCCACGGTGAAAAGGGTGTTATATGAAGACTTAGGGCTTCGGGCATATCGAAGAAAAACAGGACATCGTTTGAAAGCTCGTCTAATGGACCTGAGACTGAAGAGATGCCGCGCTTTGTTGAAGCGGTACGCGGGGAAAAAATATCGGGAAATTCTTTTTCCGGATGAAAAAATTTTTACCGTAAAAGAGAGCTACAACAAACAAAATGATAAGGTGTACGCACACAGTAGTGAAGAAGCGAGCAACTGTATTCCGCGTGTCCAACGAGGTCATTTTCCATCCTCGCTCATGGTATGGTTGGGAGTTTCTTATTGGGGCTTAACAGAGGTACATTTTTGTGAGAAAGGTGTAAAAACGAATGCAGTTGTGTATCAAAATACAGTCCTNAGCGTGTTTTTTATAATAGTTTTTGTTCTTGACAAAATAAAACTGTATCAAACTGTGAAAGAACGCTGTACATTGCTGCGTTTATTGATACGTTTCGTCGCAAACAGCCTTCCGGTGCCGCAAGTACCCGCCGTCGAGCTGATCCCGCAAGTGGCCGTGGACGCCTTCACCATAACGATGGTGACCTATACCATATCGATGTCCATGGCCTTAATATTCGCGGCCAAGGAGAAATACGAGATCGACGCCAATCAAGAATTATTAGCGCTTGTGAGTATTCGGTCCACTGCTCGTATAGATAGGGACGTTGAAGTAGGATGAAACTTTTTGCCTAATGTGGGTAGAAAATTTATTGTTCAACTAAACCCGCAATGTATGAGACAGTTTTTTTGTTATTGCTTAGTTGGGTGGACGAGCTCACAGACCACCTGATATTAAGTGGTTACTGGAGCCCATAGACATCTACAACGTAAATGCACCACCCACCTTGAGATTTAAGTTCTATGGTCTCAGTATAGCTACAACGGCTGCCCCGCCCTTCAAACCGAAACGCATTACTGCTTCACGGGAGAAATAGGCAGGGTGATGGTACCTACCCGCGCGGCCTCACAAGAGGTCCTACCACCAGTAAGTTGTGTTCTCAGCGGTGAAATTTCATTCCGAAGCCATTTTGACGATTCAAAACAATCTTTTTTAGTTTTTAACTAACTCGGTGTTGCCGTATCGTGTGACGAACAAATTTGTTTGCTCTTCGTCTGAATTTTTTATTATCTATTTATTATGTATTATATTTAAACGTATACATATATATAATATTTTTGTCAGTCTCTGGTACAAATAACACATGGAATCCTATAATAATTTGGGGGAAAACCGTGCGTGATTTGTTGCCAGTTATTTACCTATTTATTTCCATTTTTTTAGGGAGCCAGTAACGTGTTCGCTTCGTTCTTCTGCTGCATACCTTTCTGTGCCAGTCTTTCGCGCTCGTACATACAGTACCAGGTATGTAAAGATGTTATGTACTAGTTATTTATAGATCGACACGGGAACGTCAAGTTACACGCGGTTATACGGGATCTTGTTTTTATCTATACAAGCAGGTGTTGTTAGGAGACCGCTTCCGAAAACGAAGACAGACAATAATACTAATGACACCCTTGATGATGGAGTTATTTAGACTAATGTTGTAAATAAGTTTTTATGCGGTCGCGCGAGTCTGCGCCGCGCCGCGCCCGGGAGTTCGTTGACCCGAGCGTCAGCTGTTTTTGATTTTGTGTCTCATTGCTGGTTTTTTAGTAATGTATTTTTTATGAAATTATCGTTTTATTTAGCTGCACTAACATGATGGAGCGTAAATAATGCTAATAAAACGTTTTAAAAATATGTTATTGATGTGCCTTTGGAAAACATACAGCATTGTATTATGAAGAAGCATTGTGTACTTAGCTTAGATTCCTTGTCTATGTCCAACCATAGACAGTCAATTTAGTTCCATCTTTAGCCGCTAGGTGCTGCCAGCAAGTATAAAGGGAGCGCAGCCATCTTTGATCTTCATAGCGTTGTGTACTTTCGTACTGTGAAGTCGCAAGTCCACAAATATTTATTCGACTTCTTATTAATTGCAAAAAATATTTATTTTGTGTTTCTATGAGTGTTATTTTGTGTTTCTATGAGTGTTATTTTGCAATCATTACGAGTATTATTTACCAATCCTATCATCGGACGCCATGAATCACGCGTCATCTGTTGGAGGTGATGTTGAGTCAAGCTCCATAATTTCCGAGAGGGAAGATGTNCTCGTTCGTGCTGCGATAGACGACTGGCCGCGCAGATTGAAGGCCTGTATTCAAAATCACGGAGGTCATTTTGAATAAACTTTAGTGTCATAAGAATCTATGTTTTGTTAAGTTCATTTTGGTATATGAATGGTTACATAATGAATAAACTTGTTTCAATTATTTTACATTAAACATGTGACAGAATTTATGACCTGACTAGGTATATAAGGTAGCTGTTAGTTAGTCTCGCTAAAACTCGAGAACGGCTGGACCGATTTGGTTAATTTTGGTCTTGAATTATTTGTGGAAGTCCAGAGAAGGTTTAAAAGGTAGATAAATATGAAAACGCTCGGAATTAAATAAAATTTATAATTTTGTTTTCCCTTTGATGTGTCCCCCGTCGGACGGATTCCTTTTGTTTGTTTTAAGTTTATTTTATCCAAAAGTTTAGGTCTTTTATTTACCAATTGAAGCACTGCGAAGTCTGCCGGGACAGCTAGTACCTTATAAAAACTTTAGCTTCAAAAAAATGCTCTCAATTCACAGCAAAATAATTTTAAATGGCTATTTATTTATATATGTTATTAAATTGTTATTAACTTATTAAATGGTATTACGTTATACGCGCGCGCTAAGACACGGACGTACAGGTCGATACCTAATACCTATAATCAAACTGCGCACCAGTCGCTATTCCGACGCTTCGCACTTTCTACGCATTAATATAGAGTCGATTTATCGACGGTTCGCGTTCAAAGGGTTAATGTGTGTTAATCACCTGTGTGTCTGGTCGTTTCGTGTGTCAATAAACAACCGAGATGGGAACAATTAGAGATGCCCTTTTTCAGATTCTGGGGTCTCAGTAAGCTGGACGCCATGGTGTGGCTGATCACTTTCCTGGTGACGCTAATCGTGAACATCGATATCGGGTGAGCCGTCTTTAATAAAACACATCCTTCTCCTTGCGTCGTATTCCTCACTGCAAGGTCGTGGATCAGCCTTTGTATCATCACCATCGCACGCACGATCTTTCTCCATCTATTCTTGTGTATGGCAGTAATAAATTCCGGTGATAGATTTTGCAAAGCACGGCTCTTGCTAAGGCCAGTGTTAGCAAACTCTCTCAAGTTGAGCCCGTTACCTCTAACTATACTGAGACCTTAGAACTTATACCTCAAGGTGGGTGGCGCATTTACGTCGTAGATGTCTGTAGGCTCCAGTAACCACTTAACGCCAGGTGGGCTGTGAGCTCGTCCACTCATCTAAGCAATAAAAAAAAAAAGAAAGAAAAAACCCCTTCTTAAGCTATCAGCCCAATGGTGGGAATGAGTAGCTCGCTCCCAGCATTTCAATATTGCAATAATTGTTACCTTATAATACTCATTGTAAAAATGAATATTTAAAAAAAAAGACATGCCCGCTGAGTGTCTGGCCAGTTCTTCTCAGGACGGAGGTTAGTTTTTGTGAATAAGCGGTAGTTCTTTTTGACGTTCAACAAGTAAGTATGTACTTTCATTTATGTTGAATAAACCGGTCACCGTCCTCGTCGAACCCGTCGCTTGCGACGAAGGGCTCGACGAGTAAATTAACCCACAGACACAGCCCACTGAGTTTCTCGCCGGATCTTCTCAGTGGGTCGCGTTTCCGATCTGGTGGTAGATTCTGCGAAGCAGTGCTCTTGCCAGGGTCAGTGTTAGCATCACTCCAGTTTGAGCCCCGTGAGCTCACCTACTAGTTAAGGTTACGCTGATATAGCCTCTCAAGGCTATCAGTTTAGGTAGGAAAAAAAAGAAAAAAAAAAAATTTGAATTTTTTTTTTTGATTTGATTTGATTTGAATGTCAAGTTCGTAATATCACATAAAGTCTTCTTGACATTCAGTCTCGGTGCGGGTCTGCTGGCCAGCGTGGGCGCCTTGTTCTGCCGCTCCCAGAAACCCTACACCTGTCTCCTGGGCAGAGTTCTGGACACCGATCTGTACCTTGACACGAAGAGATACAGGGCCGTAAGTGAGATCTTATTAATCATCAAAATTTTACATTTTTTTTTTGTTGCTAACTCTTTTTAATATTGAGCTTCTTCAGAAATTGCTAAAGGATTTAAAAAACAGTACCTTAGAAAAAAAGTAACTTAAAAAAAAACAATGCTAAATTTATCACAGCTAAATAATTTTAAATATATATTTGTAAATGTTGTGAACTTATTAAAAACTTTATACCGATAATCAAACTGCGCAGTAGTCGGTATTCCGACGCTCCGCACTTTATACGCATCAATAGAGAGTCGATATATCGACGGTTCGCGCTCAAAGTGTTAAACGTTCGTAATCGAACCACTACCATTGGTTGTCCCAAATAGCTTCAAATAGTTGAAGAATGTTTTTTAGGTCATGATTTTTTTCACTCCTACTATAAATGGCTACTGTAAGTTGCAAATTTGTCGTTTGAACCAAATAGCATTTCATTTCTCGTTAAGTAGTTTGACAAACTTTACGTCTTTGGCTAGCTGACCCGCGGCAAACGTTGTTTTGCCTTGTAAACTATTTCTAGCAAAGATAAATTAACCTAGATACCGACTGCAGCGCCATCTGCCGGGCTGATTTATGAATCTAGACCATCCAGGGCGCCACCCAAACGCATACAAAAAAAAATCATTCAAATCGGTCCAGCCGTTTAGGAGGAATTCAGTGACAAACACACGCACAGAAGAAATATATATATACACATATAAAGATATATTTTTTGGCACGACCTTATCTCTTCATCTTGACTGTGGTTCGTGAATTTGTATTAAGTACGTATTTTACTAGAAAAATAGGTACATACCTGCGGAATTTTATTATTTAATTATGAAATTCATTTATTTCAAATAATATTAATCCATATTAATGTTAGTAACAGTGAATTTAAAAAAAAAATATGTTAGTATGTAGTGATAAAAGAAAAGAACAACATACATACATTGCAATTGCAATAGTTGACCATTACTGGTGGTGGGACCTCTTGAGTCCGCACGGGTAGTTACCGCCACCCTGCCTATTTGTGCCGTGAAGCAGTAATGCGTTTCGGTTTGAAGGGTGGGGCAGCCGTTGTAACTATACTGAGACCTTAGAACTTATATTTCAAGGTGGGTGGCGCATTTACGTTGTAGATGTCTATGGGCCACTTAACAATAGGTGTGATGTGAGCTCGTCCATCCATCTAAACAATAAAAAAAGGAGCAAATTTTGAATTCAACGCCTATTTTATCGTACCATCCGGCTTTGAAATGAGCTCCCCTCTACGGTGTTTCCCGAGCGCTATGACATGTCCTTCTTCAAACGAGGCTTGTGGAGAGTATTAAGCGGTAGGCAGCGGCTTGGCTCTGCTCCTGGCATTGCTGAAGTCCATGGGCGACGGTAACCACTCACCATCAGGTGGGCCGTATGCTCGTCTGCCTACAAGGGCAATAAAAAATAAAATAAAATAAAAATGAAGAAAAGAAACATCGCGACGACTTGTTGAATATAGTTTTTAATTATCCTCCGATCTATTTAAGTTAGATGTTATAACCTTTATCGTGATACGATTACTCCGCGACTGGCCTCGTCCATATCATTGTTCCTCCACACGGAGAGCATCAGGAACTGCACGGCGCTCATGAGCATGATGTTGATCATCACGCTCATCATCCATTTGATCACGTCGCAGACGCTCATCTCGTAGTCGCGCGAGTAAGCGTAACGTTTGTCGGGGAGAATCCTCATGATTTTGTCTAAAAGCCAGCGCCGTTCAAAAAAGTGAATTTGGTATTTCTTATTCGACATGGTCAAACATCGTTGGGTATAAAAATGCTTCCGATTCTTTTATTGTTTGATTTAAATCGCGGCTTTTTAATTGTGGACGTGTATTTACACTAATAAAATACGTATCGATGTATTTATTGTGTTGTAAGTTTTTTTTATTCTTCCATTATATGCTTTTTAGAATTTATTGTTGAAAATCTTTTGTGGTATATTTTACGTGTTTACGTTTGATGACATTTTGATGGCGGCGCGACGTGTCGCTTTGGCAATGTCATTGACGTGTTTTGTTTTCAAATCAAATCAAATCAAAAAAGTTTTATTCAACATAAATGAAAGTACATACTTGTTGAACGTCAAAAGAACTACCGCCAATTCACAAGAATTAGCCTCCGTCCTGAGAAGAATTGGCAAGAAACTCAGCGGGCATGTTTTTTTTTTTTTTTTTTTAATATTAGATTTTGACGGCGTATCGAATTTTTTAAATAGGTGAAAGTTGCGTGATTAATGAGGAATTAGTCAATTGAACATATCTCGATGGGCTTGACATGGCAGTCACGTGAATAGCAAATTTGGGTGAATTATTTCATTTATTTATTTATTTGGCACGTGATACACATTACAAGTTAAAAAGATACACAATATATTACAAGTAAAAAAAAAGGAAAATCTGCCTTGCAACATAAGTCATGTGCGCACGAATAAACAAGGCAAATGTTTTTTTTTTTATTGCTTCGATGGGTAGACGAGCTCACAGCCCACCTGGTTTTAAGCCCATAGACATCTATGACGTAAATGCGACACCCATCTTGAGATATAAGTTCTAAAATCTCAGGTATAGTTACAACAGCTGCCCTACGCTTCAAACCGAAACGCATTACTGCTTCACGGCGGAAATAGGCAGGGCGGTGGTACCTACCCGCGCGGACTCACAAGAGGTCCTACCACCACCAAATTTTAAACTTTAAATGGCTTTCCTGTAAAAGTTGCAAAAACTTCGCTTAAACCACATCATAGCATTTTACCAGTCAATACGTTTGAAAAAAAAAGGATCCCATAGATAGGAAAGATACACAAGTCTCATTTCGGTTTCCGAAATAAAGCCGCTGATAGTTTTTGAAGTGAAACTTCTTTAGAATCGTTGTGATTTCAAACTTGATGAAACGAAAAAATAAGTCCATAGAGACACAAACACATGGATGTATAGGATTCAGCCGGCGAGAGAATGAGATAGAACACATTATACGTTCTCAGTGTAGTGTTTTTATTTAACACAGCGCCATCTATGAGATTTTTTAATACTAACGTGTGTATGAAACCTCTTGTAGTGAATTTTAATTTAGGATTACACGTGAAGTTAAAATATCTGTTCACAGAGGGCGCTACCTCATACTATAAAAGATGATTTACAATTATTATTTACTAATGACAAAGTTTTACATAATCGTCGCTTGAAAGGCAAACGTGACTAAGCGACAACGCGTGAACTTTACAGTAGACTAATTTAAAGTTGAAATACTTGAAAAAAAAAATATTTTAACGAATCTAGCTGTAGGATTGAAATGATTTTAATAGACCTAGAAATATATATTTTTTGCGCATCGAATATGGTTATTGCCTATCATTTATGTACAAAGCAGTTATTGTCGCTTAGTCACGTTTGCCTTTCAAGCGACGATATACGTAGACATTTAGGATAATTGTATTTTAATTTTTGAAGGTTTCACATCTACCACGTGTGAGTTGCAAACAACATTTTTTTTTTTCGTCGCCAGGCAGAAGAGCTGCCGGGCATCAAGATATTCCACTACTGCGGTGGCTTGAACTTCGCCAGCAAGAACCTGTTCCGGTCGACGCTATTCCGGAAGATCGGCTACATGAAGCCGGCGGTCGTGACGCACGACGAGGACAACAACCTCACCAAGAGCGAATCCTACGAATGGGATCCCAGTATCAGTCACAAGGTTGATATGGACAGACCTCATTACTTTTATTGCACAAACCCACAATCCACTCGCTGTTAAGTTGACTGTGTCCATAGGTAGCACCATAGGTAGCAGTAGATTATCTATATATTAATACGTGAAGCAAAAACTTTGTACCCCTTTTTACGAAAATTTCGCGGACGGAGAAGTATGATATTTCCCACACTTAAAGAGATTATAGCGATGGAGTGCAGAATGTTAATATTTTTGTAAATTATGCATAAAAAATACATTAAATCAATAAGAAAAAACATTACACACACTACGATGTATTTGACACACACACGCATGCATACTATTTGGTTACTATCAAACTATTCTTATTGCTTATAGTCTGTGGTCAAATTTAGAATAGATTAAATATTGTCTTCATTAATATTTGTCTAAAGTGTAGTCTTGGCAAAATCTGTAATTAGAGAAGTATAATAAATAGCCTTTGACAATAGAATCATAGTAGTGTACAAACTTATAATTTCAATTAATTATAGTCGAATTTCGACTACAGGGGGACTAACTAGTTTCTGTAGTTAGACAAAAAAATAATTAATTGGTTTTCTGTAAAATCGGTTTACGGATTACAGTTTTACGTGATAACGTCATTAGCAGAACTATTCGAACTATTAGCTGTGACGTCACACGAGAAAAGAGATAAATGTGTCACAAGCCAACGCTTAGCCTCGTACCTCTCTATTCAGGGGGAACGTGACACTTTTTCGTGCGTGCAGCCGTCGTGTTCGTCGATTTATAAAACGTTATTATGGCCAAAAAGTTACACCCTGTATATTCCAAATGCTTTAGCTTTTGTACAGGGTGTGGACGCAGTGGTGTTTTGGAGCGCCAGTCTTTTCACTACCAATGAACCTGTTACATTTGTACTTATTTGATTGTAACCATGCACTTATTAAAGGGCCCTAGAGTAACAATTGCGTGCGGCCTTTGCGACAAAGCCTTTTTTCTCCTACCTACGCCGAAAGTTCTGTTTTCATCCCGCTGTACAGAGAAGAAAGTGTAACTTTTCCTCCCTGGGTACTGACAAGTGCGCATGCGCGTTAGTGTCTACGTCTGCTCTCACGCACCTAAAATTCTCCGCTATTGTTGTGCTCGGGTAATTTGCAATATTGTGTTTAGTGTAAAAGTAAAATAAACGAAAGGCAATAAAATTTAACAGTGAAGTATTAAAAAAATATGAGTTCATCAGACAGTTCTTATTCAATTAGTATTAGTTTATTTAAAAATTAAAAAACAGTTTAATATTATTTTTTATGAGTAGGTATATTATTATTAGGTGTACTACTATTGTGACCTCAGAACTGAGTGCATTCCGTGTTTTTCCAGGTACAATGTGTGATAATAGACGCAACCGCTTTGTCGTACGTTGACGCTCCCGGGATCAAGAGTTTGATAGCAGTTCAGAGAGAACTAGTTAGCAGCAATATTACGGTGCTATTGGCGGGAGCTAACGGTAAGACCCATCAACAATTACACGTGTGTTTCAGTGTGCATATCAGCTTCTGATTTTGTTGATGCAGCGAAACATAGTTTGGGCCCGGATGTGATTTTTCCCGTGTAGTCATATTAAATATTGCCCTAAATGACATTCTTTAGGCGGGTTAAGAGTAAAATTTAACTCGAGACAGATTCTTTACGGTTAGAGAGAAAACATACAGTTTAGTATGAGAGAGAGTGAGAAAATAGACTGAGCGTCTCTCAAACCACTCGACCGTGGAGAGAGGGAAAGGACCACACGAGCTAGGTCGTTTCTCTTATACACAGCATTACAAGAGAAATTTGATTTAAGGATTTAAAAAAAATGAAGAAAACCACAATATTACATACCTCAAAAGAAGTTTCACTTTTTACACGTGCACAAAGTTGCACGCGCACCATTTTTAATACGCTTTTATTAGCTTCAGACGTATGTATGTTAGTATGTTAGTGTGTAACGGAATCTTTGAACATGAATTTGACCCCCTTCAAAACGTCGACTTAACTCGAAATTTAGTATACGTATTAAGGACCGATGTCAATATAATTTTAAAAAAAATTGTAAAAATTTAAATTCAACTAAAAAATGAAAACTAAATTATAGTTTAAAAAAAGTAACAAAATACGCTTTTATAGAAAATCCAATTAAAAAAATAGAAAATAAATTTTAATAAATTTAATTTAAAAATGGTGTAAGAAAAAATGATTTAATTGTAAAAAAAAGCGTGGGGTACATGGTATCAGTAGTTATAAATATTTTAAGAAACAGATATGAGTAGAAGGGTTATTTTGATAATATCCTGAAAAGCATCCCCACGCTTTTTTACAATAAAATCATTTTTTCTTACACTATTTTTAAATCAAATTTATTTAAATTTCGAAACATTTCCGTAGCTTCGTCGCGGGTATTATCAAAAAGCAGAAGTTAAGCCTTCGTCAAACAGAACGCGAGTCAGAGCGCTAAACTGACGCCGCACTATGACGCCGACATGTGTTGTACTACTATTGTAACATATCGTCAAACAGATCACCAGCGCTATAAGTACGCAACGCTCTGTCGCGGCGTTAGACGCTTTGACGTCAGGCGTTGTAATTTTTTACAAATTTTATTTTAGCGTCCGCGTGAATGTGTATTAAAATACTAGATAATGCCCGAAAAAATGATATAAATAGTTAGAAAATACCCACGCTTATACAATGCCACATCTGAATCACTCGATTTCTTAATACTTTTAAATTTTCCCACTGCTATCGAAAGGCACTATGATTTGGCGAATGCGTTGCGTCAAGGAGCGTTAGACTCATCTAGTCAATTTGAAGAGCGCGACGTTAAGTACGCGGCGCTAAGTACGCGTTCTGTTTGACGAAAGCTTTACGTTACGAATTCAGAATGTCCGTCCTTACAGGGCCCGTGCTGGAAATGATCGAGAGATACAACAATTTGGAGGCCGAGAGACTTCAGTTGGACACGTTCCCGACCGTGCACGACGCGGTCGTTTACTACAACGTATCGGAGGCAAGAAAGCACGACGTACCCGTCACGATAGCGCCGTGACACCAAACAAACTAGAGCTAATAAAAAAAGTTTAATTATTTAGTAACGGCACGGAGACTTGTCGATTGGTTGAACTGTTTTTTTTACTGGTGGTAGGACGTCTTGTGAGTCCGCACGGGTAGGTACCACCGCTCTGCCTGTTTGTGCCGGGAAGCAGTAATGCGTTTCGGTTTGAAGGGTGGGGCAGCCGCTGTGACTGAGACCTTAGAACTCATATCTCAGGGTGGGTGGCGGCATTTACGTTGTAGATGTCTATGGGCTCCGGTAACCTCTTAATACCAGGTGAGCTGTGAGCTCGTCCACAAATCAATGCAATAAAAAATAAAATAAATAATTCGAACGGCTATGAATTGAATGGGTTCGTTTTATGCCGATCTCGCTGTTCGGCATAATTATTATTTAGTATCGGCATAAAATGTTCGATCACGCTTAGGCAGTAAGTAGTAAATAACGTTATCGGAACAGGGGAATAGTGTTAATTCTAGAAGAAGGTAAACTATTTAGTTACGGCATAAAAATGTAATTATGATTGTTTTAGATACAGTATATAGTTACGTATCGTTACATTCTTCTTATGAATATTATTATTTGTTTACTTGTATTGATTACACCGTGAACAATTATTATTTAAGAAAGGCAGATAGACGTTTCACCAAAGCTGTATATTTATTTATTTATTTACATAATTTATTTGACTTGAAATTTTAATGTTCTCAAAAAAAATTAACTATGTAATTTGATTATTCTATTAAAATAATAAGAAAAAAACGTTATTAGAACTCTGTAAGACAATTTTGATGATCCCAAATATTTTATGCCAGTTATTTGGCCATTGAAAATGTATTTGGTAATGGCATATTAATTATATTTATACATCTTATGCGAATCTTTCAGTGAAGAATAATTTTAATATCGATTCACTGGACAAAGCATAGAAACTAACCGTCTCTGTAAGTTGTTTTAATTGAATCTGTAATATAAACAGCCTCCTTGGAGATCGAGAGGGCATTGACCTTGCGCGACAACTGTTCCTAAATTGTATTTTATTTCGTACCATATAAAGAACATTTTTCGGTGACGATTTTTTGTATCAGGCATCGCTGACCGTTACTTCATTTCGACGTGAAATAAAGACAAACAAACAAACAAACAAACAAACACACTTTATAATTTATAATATTAATATAGATACTAATACGGATGATTGTATATTATACTTCATACGTATCATTTGTATCTACAACTCGACCAAGCTAAGTTTGCACCTCGTTGGAATGCGGCGCCTCGCCCGCTTCCCCGCTCACCTTCCCGCGATCGCCCTGTCGCGTCAGTAACTCAGTACCGTTAGTATCTTTGTCGCCGACACGCGTCATACGAGTTTTCGTCTCCCTATCCGTTGAATTTTAAATTTTTTTAATTGTTCTTGTTCGGTTTTTTGTTGAAGCTTAGTTATATTAATGGACCATTTTTGTTAAGTTTTTGTTGAACTGTTGCTATGGAACGCTTAACGTTAATTTTTTTTTTTTTTTTTCGTGAGGATTGTTGTGGGCAACAAAAATGAAAGGAAAGGTCATACACAGTGAAGGGAGAAACCTAATCCTGAAAAGGAAACGTAAAGGATAATTATTACTGAGCAATTGGGATTCAAATTTAAAAAGTGCAAGAATGCCCGGGTGGTCTTAATACAAAAACCCGATATCGCTATATTTAACGGCCGTCTGGTGTAGTGGTAGGTGACATGGTCACTACACAAGGGGGTCGCGGGTTCGAATCCCGCCAAGGGAAGATATTTGTATGATAAATATAAATGTCTTTTTCAGGGTTATGGATGTATATTAAATATATGTATGTGTATAATAAAAATCTTACATTTATTTCCGTTATCTGGTACCTGTAACACAAGTTCTTTACGAACTTATCACGGGACCAGTTAACGTGGCGTGATTGTTAGTAAATATTTATTATTATTATTATTATTCTAATTTACCTACGTATAATATATTGTTAAAAACAATAAATGCAAAGTAAAAAATCTAACAAACATTTGTTTACATTTTTAAAGTCACAGCTAATCCTTTTTTCAGACCGTACCTGAGCGGCATAGTGACGTAATCGATGCGAGGTGCAAACTTAAGTGCCTAAAGTGCCTTATTCACGATCCATCTTGCTGTACGTCCCGCCAAGGCCATGCACGATGCACGATGCAAAACGATCATGAATAGGCTTGACGTACGTCGATAATTATTATTAATTGCGGCCTTGAGCTGACGTACAGCCGTGATGGATCGTGAATAAAGCGCTAAATGCATCGTGCATCGTGCATGGCCTTGGCGNGATCATGAATAGGCTTGACGTACGTCGATAATTATTATTAATTGCGGCCTTGAGCTGACGTACAGCCGTGATGGATCGTGAATAAAGCGCTAAATGCATCGTGCATCGTGCATGGCCTTGGCGGGACGTACAACAAGATGGATCGTGAATAAGGCACTTTAGCTTGGTCGAGCTGTACTCAATAAGTTACTAGCATTAAAACAATATGAAATAAATATGTGCCATTTGCATTAAATTTATAAATGAAAATGAAATTATTATGATTACAGCAATTGCCAGTTAGACCCCAGAGGTAATTCCAAGAAATATTTTAAAACCATTTTAAAACCAAATTACGGATAAAACCGTAAAAGCCTTTTGAATAGTACCAACTTGTGGCTACGATTAGTTAGTCAATCGAAATGTTAATTTAAACAGTAAAAATACTTGTAATGTTTGTGAACCGTGAAATTTATTTTTTTACATTTTTTTTTTTTGTAAATCCTGTATTAATTTATTTATTATAAAAAAAAAGAACACAATATTCCTAACCTAAAAGTACATGTTATTATCCGCAACATGCTTCCTCAGATTACAGAAATAGTGTTATCAGCAACATGCTTCGTCAAAAAGTACAATACTTACTCTCAGCTGCAAGCGTCGTCATTTTATATTATAAATCACTTATTTTTAATGCAGCTTAAAAAAAAAAGAGTAATTTTTCAAAATGGTTACAGTTTTAAAAAACAAATGCACGATTACTAATTATTAATCTGAAGAGAAAATCTGTCAAAATGAAAAAGTTTTTCGGCTTAACAGGAATAACAGGCAAAAGATAAAAGAACACACAAAACATAAATTTATTTCACATTGACGTTATAAGACTTATTGAGACAAAATAAACTTAAACACGTCCGCGCACTACGAAAGCCAACAACAAAATGATTAGAATTACCGTAATTATATTACATTTAAGTAATGTCGACACGTCTTTAGCAGTAGGCAGCGGCTTGGCTCTGCTCCTGGCATTGCTGAAGTCCATGGGCGACGGTAACCACTTACCATCAGGCGGGCCGTACGCTTGTCTGCCTACAAAGGCAATAAAAAAAACTGTTAAAAAACTGTGAGTGTTGCTTCGATCAACAATAGTAACTAGATAAAGGGACACGTACAAAATCAAAGGAAAAACTGTCCGCGTGAATATACACATACATAGCTACATTCTGTTACAACAAACGGAGAAAAAAGTTTTGAAACAGTTTTAAGTTCAAACTAATTACAACTTTGGCACCTAGTAATAAAGTCACAAATCTCCAAAACATTATCTAATACTTACGATCATTTATCACAAAGCAATAAATTAGTTAGTATTGTTGATCGAAGGAGTGTTGCCACTTTGAAACTTCCTATTACCTACGGTAAACAGGCGAGCTGACTGCCTACAAATACTAAGCAAACTTTCTGTACTTATTATTGAATATTTATTTTTATTCAAAGATTATGAAAAAGTTGAGTAATCATTACGAATTTATTTACGTACTTTTGAGATTTGATACATAAATCCCTTAAGTTTTTTTTAACCGACTTCAAAAAAGGAGGAGGTTCTCAATTCGACTGTATGTTTTTTTTAATGAACTTAATATGGGCTATGGTAGCTTTTAGCATATTAAATTATTATTGAGTTTCGAATCAAACTTATTTTGTACTTAAATTATTATGATGTAATATGTGAACAATTTTGTATTTATTAATCAAGTTAAACTCTTTGAATCCCACGTAGGTCACTAGTGCCCTACGCGGCGCACTGAAGTAATTATATTCGGTTACTAAGGCGCTGGAATATCTAGTAGACTCTGGGAAAGACGAATCCGAAGATACTGAGAAGGAATCGTATTTCTAACAGACCTAAAAGACTAAAACATATCGTCTTCTCGCATTAAAACTGTATAGGTAATTAATAATTATTTACTAATTTTACAGGAGAGTGTTTTAAAGGTTTAACATGTAATCCTTAATATTAATCATATTTGCAACATATATTTTTTTTTTATCCGTTACATTATCTGTCTTTTAAAGTAAGATAAAATTATGTATTAATTTTGTTAATAGTAGTCAAAACATAAGTAAAATAAAAAATAAAAAAACTAAAACTAAACTACGCTCTTTTGACAGTATTTATTAGAAAAATACTGTTGATACCAAATGTTTACACGCATGTTGACTCAATTTTGAATATTTTTGGAAATTGTACACTTTTAATGCAAAAAGGCGACCTATTACCAAACAAAAGAAGGTGAGATTAGTCAATCTAGACGCTTGATAACAGAAATCGACATAATTACTTGAGTGCGCCGCGTAGGTCACCGGTGACCTATACGACAGTCAAAGGGTTATTATAGTAACCGGCAAACTTCTTGAGCAAATGACCTTGACTGCGCAGAACCGAATTTTAGATCACTTTGGTGGTGAGGGTGAGGCGCGACGGCAGGGGAAATCGTATCGAGCGCGTTATTGGTAGATCAGTCGAACCCTGCGTCCCGCACCGCGCTCTCTTTCTGCTTGCTCCCACAAGTACGCTTGCGTACAGTGAAAAGTCTATCGTTATTAATCGTTAAGTTATTTGTTATAATTGCTTGTTGACTTTGTTGCCATTGCTATTTGTTGAGTGTTTGTTGATTTTTTCATAAAAAATACACTATGCCGCGAAAAACTGGTGTAGTATTCAAAAGAAAGGGTAGAAAAATTGTGTACGACGTATATTGCTTCATTATAAAACATCCGTGAGTACTGTTAGGTGCATTATTAACGAAGCTAAAGGCTCTGGCTTGCTGGCCGTGTTTCGGACTCCGGGTAAGAAA